TGCTCCACAAACTGCTATGGCCCAACCAGAGCTGCCACCTGAAATAACTGCATTGCCACCGCTCCTTACAGCATTTTTTTTTTTTTCCACACAGTGTCACTCACTACAATTCTCACAGGAAGTCTCAGACTATAGTGAAACAGGGGGATGGTTAGTCTGGTCATGTGGCACCGTTAAAGAGTCTTGGAGGAAACAAGGGGGGGGTGGAGGGGGTGGTGGGGGGAAGCTCTGTCGCAGAGATTTTCACAACCAACACAAGAAGCAGCACTTGAGCTGCTAGTGCTGTGTGGACTGTTTGTTGAGAGGGAATGTTACACAATGCTTTGAACAGTCAAGGTAGGCGTCTCATGTTTTCATTTTGTTCTTTATTGCTCCCCGAGTCCTATGACTCTTTTTCTTCCAGCAGTTTCACTTCTTAGATTTGCATTTGTTTAACAGGACTGTAAGAACATTCCTGCACCTTATCTGTTATCAAGTACTTGACCTACATGGCAAATAGGGATCTCTCAGTTCACTGCTCAGTTTACTGCTCAGTTCAGGCTTCATAATTTAAGCATCTGTTCTCTCAGTCTCCAAAGCAAACTGTCTCATGAGCTGTGTTATTGTGAGCGTCAGTCCCTGGTGAATTTGTTGAGCCCTTCAGGAAACTGTTACTACAGATGTACTGGATACAGCTGACCTACTCTGCTGCAGTGATCTTGGCTTCCCCTTGCAAATGCTCTTAAACTAGATTACAATTTAATTAAAAGACCATTAGCAAATAACATAAATGAAAACTATAATACAGTTAAAGGACTGGTGATGTCAACGTAAGCAAAATGGATAGAGGGGGTCCCCACGTCCACTCATCACAGGAGAAGCCACACCTCCATGAGATGTGACAGCTAACTTTAATTATAGAAGACAAATTTGCTGAGCATGCATGTTCTTAATAGAAACAACCTGCTCTGTATTCAAACTGATGACAAGCAAGGGCAGCAGGGAAATGTCCGGCAGACTGAGGGGACCATGGAAGTGCCTGCTTAAGGAAACGTTTTCCAAATGGCTGATGGACTCAAAGTGACAATATCTGTCTGACGAAATCCAAGTCACTGCTCCACTGTGTGTGAGGTGAATACTAAATGCAACTATTTGTGCTTTGAGTTAATTCACTGCTGTTTTTTTCTAGTGAAGGCAGAGGCATCAGCGATGGAGAAAGTTGGTCCAGCAAAGACAAACGGTATAAACGCCAATGACTTCCATTAAAAAATTACTGGGACATCTTCCATTTAAAAAACATGTTGTGGAATCATTTGATGACGTTGCTTCACAGATGATAAACCAGAGACCAAGGACCTGAGAAGCAATCCTCCGACCAAAGTCAAGTTGCCATCCATCAACAGGCCCAGTCCACCTCCAGTCAAAGACAAACCTGTCAAGGTTTTACCCAAGTGAGTGCTGCCAAACTATTCCGATGTTGTCCTGCACTATTAATCTCCACTCATAACCACCTAAAACTTCCTGGGTAATTACGTCCCGCTCCAGTTCAGTGACATGAATAGTGATTCATCTGCAACCTTTCCAAAGCTAAAAGCCTTTGGAAAATGTCAGGAACACTTTCTCCTCTTTGGTCTGGCACCGGCTAGTGGAGCCTTTAGATGTTCAAGGTTTTGGTTGCCGCCACCAGTTGCCATGGTCTACTTAAAGAAGAATGCCAGGATGCCCGACCTTTAGCGGCTCAGTGGAAAGTCTAGGATGAGTCAGATTGGGGCCTAAACAGACGAGAGCAGCCTATTTCCTGTTTCCTGAGCAAAACACACACACAAACACACACAACTGAGAAAATAAAACGGCCCTGTCATGAGGGGGCTGCTAATGAAGAACAACCTGTTCTGTAAATTGTTTCCAAGCAAATATGTTAAGGAGAGATAATGTTTCCTGTTTTTCTAAAAATCCTTCTAAATGTTATATAAACTCACTCTTCCGGGCTAATTATTTACAAGCATAACAACACAGTTAAAAAACAGCATGTAAAGGTTACATTGAGTTGCATGTGTGGGGAGCAGCCATCATTTCATATGTGCTGTCAATGTGAAACATATGTCAGGACAAATTAAGGCATACAGAGAGACCTCAATACTCCAGCTGCCATGTTTTGCACCTTAAAGTTTTTACTCTGACTTGAAAATGTGAACCAATGTCTGTGTACAGCAGTAGAAAATGTCAGATTTTCCCTCAAAGGTTGGTATGTATGTCTCAGAAAATTGTACTCTTCTTTAAGTAGAACCAATGGCGATGTGGCTCCTCTTTCACCAAAACCAGCAGAGGAGAAAGACACCAACCAGTTTGAAGGAGTGGATGTGCAGACCGATAAGCTGAGCCACCCAACAGCAAACAGAGCCAAACCCCCTCAGAGGAGACCCCCGACAGGCCAGGTCACCACGACACAAGTATGCCCAGTTTGACATCGTTTATTGATGTTTTCATATATGTATACATGTTGACTTCTGCTAACGTGCAAACAAACTGTTGCACATTTTATGCTTGACTGAGGGAACACAACTTGCTAAATCACCTACGCAGTGCTAACCAACACTTCTGTAGGTGACTTTTGTGACGTGATTATCAATGCAATAAGGAGGCTTCTCTCTGCTTCATCTTGTGCAAAGTTTGCTGGGTAAATGCACATTGTTTGGTTTCTTTGAAAAGGTCCAGAATACATTTTAGAATACAATTTTAGTTTTTATTTTATTTTAGCACATGTAGCAAAGTTTCTTTGTCAGGTTATTTCTAGTACAACAGAATGTGTTTTCCAAACTTTGTCATAGGTGGTAAATGTGTTCTAGCTGATAATCATTTCCTTGACTCGCCCATATTGCACTAAAGTTCAGCAGCCACACAAGCAAGGTTATCGTAAAAAAGAAAGAGATAAGAATTCCGGAACTTGCCCTCTCAGTAGATCAGACTACAACATGGCCAAGAGATTTGTTTGAGCAAGAGAAAAGGCCCAAGACACACCCCAGGTTCTCATGAGTTGCCAACATTCCAATTTTACAATGATGGCAACAAGTTTGGGCCTGATTTCCAGGCTATCATTCTGGGGGATAAAGATATATTTTTATGGTTTGTACTTTATTACCCAAAGGATATTTAAACTGGTATAAAACTAAACAGGCATAGTTTGGAATGGAGAAATCTCATTTAAGTTATGGTGTATCCTCTTCCACAGACTCAGGGTGCCATTGATCAGACAGAACCAGAACAACTGCCAAAAAAGTTCCAACCAGAGAAATTACCTGGCTTTCAAAAGGTTTGTGATGGACTGATTTGTGAGTGCACTGCACTACATGTGTTTTTATCTTATTTTATTGTTCAAATACCTTGATCTGCATTTTGCAAATATTGATTGCAGGGTACGGAAAATCTCTTGCCATCACCTGCAAAGCCTGAGCCAAGACCCAAGACACCGACTCCTGTTCGACCAGCACCACCCAAGGTAGTTGTGGACGGCAAAACTGCGACCCATAACGAAAAGCCTACGGTGGAAAGCCTGCAGGCTGAGGTCAGAGAGCTGAGGATGGCTCTGGAGCTGCTACAGACACGACATGAGTGAGTAAATACTCATCTGTGAGGGGGCATATGTGAAACCCGATCCTCAATGTAGTATTTATACCATTACAGTTCGATTTATGATGTTTGTGGACACACAGGAAGTGACCAATCAAAACCGTCCAGAAAAACTGGACTCAACAATGTTGCATCTTTGCTATCTCTTTACTCTTTGACTGCTTTGATACGAAACTAAACAAAGGCCATAGTTGGATGGTTTTGAGCCATGATATGTGCCACTGTAGACACATGACTTCTTATTGTAGACAGACACACGACTTCCATTTGGAGTTCTCAACATGTGATTTTAAATTTTGTGTAGCTTGAATATACAGGGTTGTGTATTTTTAAAAATCTTATTTCTGTTTTTATTAAAAGCATGTTATATTGGTTACATGTTGCATGTTATATCCAGTACACAAAGTTTGATTCTGGTACACGCAGTTTAATTCTGGTACACACAGTTAGCTAGACTTGTGTCTAACTTCAAGAGTAGTTTAAGACCGACGACCACAAATGCCAACTTACATAAGCTCAAGAACACACATTATGAAACATAGTAGCAGTTTGTGTATAATTTGTTGAGTCTGAGATGTGGACTGTAAGTCAGCCAGTTATAAATTACACTTAACAGTGTATTCATTTACAGACAATTAAACAATGTATTTTTCACTGCAGGTCATTTAGAGTATTTAAGATTCAATCTTTGTCTGTTTCTTTCAACTACAAAACTAAATTACTTCAAAAGTCTTTGTATGGATATTTATTAATTTGACTTAACTGGCAGTGAACAGTGTGGCTGACCCATTTAGACATGAGTGTCTACAGACTCCTTTTTTCAACTCTGCGTCTTTTGATCAGGCAAGACATGCAGGAAGTGAAAGAAGAACTGCAGAAAGAGAGAAGCAAACAACTGGCACTGCAGGTAAGTGAAGCATTTCTTGAGTTTTGCATGCATTTGTACTGCCTGCTACATTTTGCCGAATACAGTTTGCCTGACTGAAATTTTTAATTGTTTAAAATGTATTTTCTATACAGGAGGATGTCAACAGTTTGAAGATGAAGCATTAACTACACAATGGGGTGGCTGTCTGACACTGTTTTGAACAGGCTCTCAAACTGATAATTCAAACATTTAAGCAGCTTTCTGATGTGGAACTGAATAAGCAAGCTCTTCCACTAAACAACGGCTCATTAGAAAGTATAATTGGACATAGGATCTTCATCCTATGGACTGGACTAGAAAAACTTGATCCACCAAAAGTTTAAATGATATACAGAGCTGTTCAAGTTATTTGAATGTTGGAAATGATAAACATTGGTGTAAAGTGGGTGATGCTTGGTAGATTGTTATATTACAACTGTCACCTCTATCACATTCCTAGGTTTTACTGTACTTAACCATTTACATGATGCCCCAGCAGAATGTGTAATATATGCAGCTGTAAATAGGAGGAAATATTGTTATGTCTTTTGCAAAGAACTAAAAACGAATTTTAAGTCTTTGAGTGTTGTTATCTGAATGTTTATAGCTGAATTACTATGGTAGAACATGGAGGTGAATTTCCACATAAGAATGTAATGCTGCATAAATCCACTGGGGGGCAATATATGTCAATTCTTCTATATAAAGAGAAGCATTACAACTTTTCAGTGAATGTTGGATTAATGGAAGTAAACTGGTGCTATTAAATTCATATTAGAAAACTCAAAATAGATGTAATTCATTAGTATAAACATGTTGACATTTAGGTTTGGGGAACATGACTGATGTTAACAAACAATCTTAAAACACAGAAGGATTCATACAAAGTTTGTGGTGCACTGCTTTTCTGCAGTTAAGTGGAATAGGCATCTCATGTAACTCAGAAAGACTGACTCACTGAAAACAGTGACTCATTGCAATTAATGTGAACATGGGAAAATTCAAAAGAGGAATTCTTTGAGCATTCATAGAGAGAGCTATTTAACTTAACTACTTTTGGATCGCACCGTCTTCAGAATGCAGCACAGAGATTTGGTTTTGGCTCCGAATGGTGTTAGTGGTGGTGGTGTGCTCCTGTCTAAGGCTAGTAGAGTTGCCCACTATGGAGGACATCTGGACAACATCTGGAGCTCATCAGGGACCGGGTGCTCTTCAAACTGCCATGGGAACATACTATTTTTAAAAAAGGTGTTGAATAATGGTGATCAAGGGCACATTCCCTCTTGGACACAGGGTGAAATAAATGAATGAAACAAACCAATGGTCTGATTATATGGCAGAACTTCTGAATTTTTGACAGATATTAAAAATGAAGGTTCTAGCAGTATAAAGACGTACAAACACAAGTGGAGATTTTATTTCTTCTACTCAAGGACCCTAAAATGCTTCAATAATCTCAGTGATGACGGACGCTGCTTACACTACTGGCACTCTTCTAAATTATAATAAACCACTTGTGTGACTTACCTGGAAGAAACGTAGTGCTATAGGCCATAGACAACACAGTTCACTGTTAACACTGGAGAAATGTAAGATAAGTCGGAAGGAACTGCTGTGATTGAGTGTTCAAAAAATGCTTTGGAGATCAGAGGTCAGAGTGAAAATTAGAAATAGTGAAGGAGGAGCTGAACTGAGAAAGAACAGCTCACCACTGTCAAAGAAATCATATGCACGACCTCAGGGGAAACGGTAATAAATCTTCCACATATTAAAACTATCATTCTAATATGGAGCCATTGACTGAGAGGGATCATGAATACCACTTTTATCTGTATTTTGAGAATTATATCCTGTGCCTCAGGTTCTTCTCTAAAAAATGTAACATTTGACCATTGTACTTAAATAAGAATAATTTATCTATTTAAAGGAGGTTAAATAGCATGGACATAGCTATAGATGTTATTATCTATAAAGTGGTATTTTCTGGAATTACCAAAGAACCACAAATGACAACCTTACAGTTTGTAATGCTCGTCTTTGTGGACATCTTTCCCACGCTGTGGTGGGGCTCAGACTCATAGCTTACCCTAACTGGATTTCCTTCATGTTAATGTTCAGTTAATTTTAATGATGTATTGTCTCATAATTACCATAGGTTAAAGTATGTTGCTTCTAATTACAGCACATGTGTCTTGATTACATTGTGGAAAATGAAAAGGAGACTACTGAAAATACTTGATGGTGGGGTCTAGTGAAACATATTTTGGGTCTTGTGATTTCGAGGTAGATGCTGTTCACAAGAGTTTTCAACAAATATAATTATACCGTTACTTCAAAGAGTCTACACCATCAGCGCCACTGATTTCTGGAAGCCAGTGACCACATGAGAGGCTTTTCCAAGACCTCAACAGAGAAGACTTCAGTGTGGGCTATGTCTAAAAACAGAACGGGCCCCAAGGCAAACTTGAACCCTGTCTGCTCCTCCAGCACAGTGTGAACTTTGAGGAGGATGCTATACTAGTTGCCTACAAGGATGGACAAAAGATTCAAGCTCCAGGTTGGCCAACAGAAAGAATGTGGACATGACAAATTCTGACGAGTATTTAGGCTATTTCCCTTTAGTATGGCTTTAAGCAAATGCCAAGAATTCATATTTCTTTAAATTCTACATCACAAAACCACTGAAGATTGACTTGTGATATTGTCCAGTACAAACATTCGTCCAGCGCAGGTCATTCATCGATGTTCTGTAAGTCTTTATTGGCAGGCGAACAATATTCCAGTCAGTGAACTCAAGTGGAACAAATGTATAATGTGACCACAGAGTTGATGTTAGCCATGTAAGCCCAGACCTCGTCACTCCCTGCGAGCATGCACCAATGTCAGAACAGCGGTGTCTCCTCCCCCAAAACCACATAAGAAACGCCTGACAACAACTATTATGTGGACTCTGCAATGTGTGGGCTATTCTAAGAAACAAACAACAAACAAAGGGGACGTACTGTTTAGTGAGCACCATCTATCTGTGGGACAGCTACCAGTATGTCCACCCCTAAAAAAAGCATTTCCAATCAAGAAATAATCCTGCACTAATAATAATAATAATAATAATGTTATGATTTAGTGACAGTAACAGCAGATTATCATCCATGTATGGATAGAAAATATAAGATAAATAAAGTGGCTTACGAAAATGTGAGAATAACTACTATGAAGCCAATATTAGAGGGGAAGTAATTATAATAATGAGCTGTGGTCATGGTCACATTTACATTTGTGAAGCCACTGTGCAACATCAGAAGGCTTCATAAATCAGACACATAAAAAGACCCATGGAGCCCAGCACACATAATATTCAAACATGCAAGTCAAGTGTAACTTAAAGAATCATTGCATGTGCCAAACATCACCGAAAGAAAAAAACAGCCCCATCGAGAAAGTTAGTCACTGAATACCAATCCCAAATCCTGTACCTACAGCAAATCAACAGAAACTTCAGAAATTTGCAGCCAGCAGAATTATATCAACAGAGATTATGAGCCTGCACACACAGTGTTCACGGTATACGAGCTAATTCAGCCAGCACACAAATATCAGCACCATAAGGCAGCAAACTGCAACAAGCCAAAACTCGGCAGGGTCGAGAGCTTTCAACACAATTTAACAATAGTTTATAGCCAAACTAGCAACTCTATGCTCACAATGCCAATGTTGATCCTGATGCTTTGCAGTGTTTACTATAGTCACCATCTTAGTTTAGTGTATTTCCAAACATTTGCATTTGCACTTATGACAGCTGAGGCTGATGGGATTGACATTAGTTTGGCAAGTATTTGGTCTCACACCAGAATTTTTTAACTGGATGGTGGCATTAAATAAAGAGTCAGGGAATCCCCAGAGTTACTTCAAATTCACCCTAAAAAGAGAATCGGTGTTTGGAATCATCTGAATCACCATGAATGTGTGTAGGACATTTTGGAGCCACCTAAGAATTTTTACTCTGTACTGACAATATCAATCTTGAGAGACCATAATGGGAAATTGCCAAACTTAGTTCTATGGTCTGTCTCATTGGATTTATCTAGCATTTTTTATTTACTATTATTATAATGATTTATTTGTTTAATGGTGATGTAGGCACAATAAAATCAGCCGTCCATCCATTATCCACATATGGTCTGTTGTTCATATTAGTCTGATATAGAAAATAACCTATCCGACTTTGAGTCAAAATGGTGAAACAACCAACTGCTAGCGTGGCTAAAATCATCGTGGAGCACGTCAAGTAGAGTTAAAGTGTCCTACCTGTTACACAGGTGAACATTTCGCACTGTGACATGTTGCCCTGGTCCCCGCTGCTCAGGTTTAAAATCCGACTTCCGGTTTGACGGGGCGTTTGAGGACACTTGAGGATCAACGGCCCAAAATGGAGCCGCGACACCGACGAGGGGAGCGACGTGAAGACGATTTTTTAAATCCATGAAACCAACTTCGCTCGAACACTGTTGAAGTTTGTCTCGAAAAAACTACACAAGTGAAGATGGCAGCAGCGACAGAGTGAGAGACGGTGATTCAACTGCCCGCGTTTTCTCAATCCACATGCGTCACATCCGGTACAGAGCTGACATTTTATACCAGAATAAAGTCAGAATATTAAGATAGAAAAAAGACATGATATCACTAGAAGAAAGGCCATACATTAGTCGAAGAAATGTAATATTATTACTAGAAAAAAACAATAAAACTACTCGAAAAAAGCCATTATGTTACTAGAAAAAAGTGGTAATCTTTCAAGAAAAAAAGCCATAATTTTTCGAAAATGGGCTATACAGATAATAAGATATTTGGCTATGCTTCATTTAGAAGGGGGACATTAGAAGATTAAGCCTTTATTAAAATTAGGATGAAGTTATAGGTTTAACATATATCAAAATACTCAGCACCACATCATCATCAGTATCAGAAAAGATTAAGCAAGAAATGTGTCCATTCCAAAGAAAGAACCACTCAGACTTGGAGGAAAATGCTTCTTTTGCGGTGAAGGAAATACTTGGTGGTGGTGGAGTGCATCATTGTTTACATCTGTGTGGTATCCAAAGGGATTTTGTAGTTTCTCAAGAGACAAAGAGATTGGTAATCAAGACTTTGAATCCAGAATGAGTTGAACTCTGGAGAACCCGAGGTCTCCCCTTGCTTGTTATTTTCCACTTTTTTTCCTTTAATTATTATGACCTTTTTGAAATTAATTGATGAGGTTTTTTTCCTAATTAAATTACAACTTAACTTAATTATGACTTTATTCTCTACATCTGCTATATTCTTCTTCAATCTGAGCCTAATACTCCATCGTACAATCCTGACTCCATCAGAGCCTTACACACATTATTATGACAGGAGGACTGTTGTTGAGTTTCTAGAAATTTTATTATAAAACTTCTTTCTTCTTTAATCTTTTTAGACAGAGACATTGAGCAGAAACAACAAATGAAATAGAACGACCTTTTTCCATTAATAACACTGACAAAAAATAGACTTTTAGACTTAAAAAAAAAAACTTGATTATAAATCCATGGCCCAAAGGTACGGAGAGGAAGAGCTCTGGTGTATATTTGTCTGACATAATGAAGGGAAACAAAAGTAAATTGTTCCAGCTTAATACTTTAAATCTGTCATTTCCTGTGGTGGAAGTACCCCTGAAAACATAGATGATTTATCATAGATGATAAATGTACTTATAGATTAAAGACTCCAATTTAAATTGTTTTAAAATCATAATCTAACCCCACAATTGATTGATATGTACTTGTTCAAACAATGACATTTTCTTTTCCTTTACACTGCAAACAAATAATCTTCATTGCAACATACAGTACATTTATTGTCCTTATTTTTCACTAAGCCTACATAAAATTAGTTGTGTGCATCTCTGTGCTTAAACGCCAAACATTTTAATACTTCAAGCACCCCACATTCATTCTGCCTCGATTCAATGTGGTCTAATCGGTTATTAAGACATCTCTTGGTTTAAGTTCATGTTGTCAGTTAAAAATAACTTTGCTTAATAAGAAGTGCAATATCTCAAAGTTCAGCTCTGTCCGAGCCAAGTGTATCAAAATGTGACACATCACTGTATGTCCTGCTTCCACATGTGTGTCGTTTTGTATCTTAACACAGGTTCTCCAGTCATGCAGGCCTCAGGGACACTGGGCCCTCTCAAAGGTCTGTGCCACTCCTTCACAGAGTTTGCAGCTTGCTTCTCCCTTGTCAGCTTCTTAGTAGTAATGCACTCTCCCAATCGTCCCTGTCCCCGTCCCCAGGATATCAGGTTGGCCGTTCCTCCAGATCTCCCGTATGATACGTTCCCTCTCCTCCAGCCGCTGCGCCCGTTCCAGCTCTTCGGCTGAAGTAAAGACGTTCACGCTCAGCGTTCCGTCCGACTGGCTGTTATGATTACCCACAGGGATTTCTGTGCTGGGCAAAGGGACCGGCGATTCAACGTTGTCCCCTTCCTCGTCCTCTTCATCCTCACTCTCCTCCTCCTCCTCTTCCTCCTCGCTGATGTCTTTTAACTGTTTTTTCTCCGGCGTGGAGGAGGAGGCGACTTTGGTGCGTGGCTTGCAGGAGATGCGAATGACCAGGAGGCAGAGCGTCAGCACCAGGCCGAAACACACTCCGAGCACAAAGTAAAGGCCGAAGCTCTCTGGGTTTGCTAAAGAAGGGACATAAACGAACAACATCAGATAGAGTTTAATGATACACATAAAAGTTAGATTTTGTTGGGCTGTAGCTTACCTTTAATGTGTGCATAAGCTGCAATGCTGTTGCTCAGCAGGTCCATTTCTTTTTTCTTCACATCCATGGTGATCTTCACTTTGTTTCCTTCACACCTGTAAAACAACACACATTTCACACCTATTAAATCTGGCTTTAAGGCAACTAGACTCTCTATTAAGGCTCTTCCAGGTGCCTGAAGTCAGACAACCCTCCTCCAGTGTTACATTCTGCGCGGCGCTAAGACGTCAATCCCACTCACTGCAGCGCTTCATATGCAGCAGGGTGGGTGGGATGAGGCCTCCAAGTGTCACACAAAAGCTCCTCTGTGTCCTCCTTAAGTACTGGCTTCATCTGGGATCATCATAATGCATTTGGCACATGGCGCTCTGCCTCTGCCATTCTCCCTGCATCATGACAGCACCTCCATAAACGAGGTCAAGAGTCAATTTTCCAAGTACCCACGAAGGACTCTTTCCAGCCCAGATCAGTTTGCGAAGCTCGGAGGAAAGCGGCCAGTGCAATGTTGCTGACTTATTTGCAGTCTTTGGACTCGGTGTCCCTGACATTTAAGCTGTCACCCCTCCTGGCATCCTGTCAGTCTGAGGAGCCCTATTGTGTTTTTTGTTTTTTATCTGTTCCTGTGTGCAGCGATGACTTTTAACACTCCAGATGAAGTCTTTATTTTTTTATTTATTCTATATAAGTTAAACCTGTAGAGCCGTGCAGCAGAAACAAGACTTCATGTTCATTCCCCCTCAAGTCTGTTTTCTGTTTTCAGCAATTATCTGGATCCTGTAACCTTCACGTTACCTCCTCACTTGGTAGCCTTTGTCTCCAGGAAAAACTAGTCTGTGTAGCATCTGAAACTAAAGATTTATTGGATTTGCCTGTATTGAATACCAGGGTCATGTTGTGCTGTTGGGTCTCTCTGTATTTCCTCTGTTAACCTTCCCCTCCTTCACCACCCTCAACCCTTTCCTGCTGACTCTGGCTTTTCTCCTCCACTTTGCCATTTTGTCAACAATCCCACCTCCACAGCTTGATGACAGCAAGGTGTTGCACCACGAGGCACAGAAGTCAGTTGATAGCAGAGAGACCAGTTCAAAATAAAGGTGGCTTTTATCTTTCCTGTACATGTTCCTCTTTGTGTTGTGGTTGAAAAACACAGCGTTCGTGTGAAATGAAGACAAACTCTGCAGTCGTCCAACTCCAACCTGTGTGTACTGATCTTTAAGTCGAACCACATGTCACCGTGCCTTCACATGGATCATATGGAGGTCCTCAAATTGCACAAACCACATGTTTGTGTTTGCATTTATCTCCAAATTACACCCACTGATAACCCCGGTGCCTGAGCTCCATCGTGATGTGAATACCTCATTAAGTTATGTAGCTTTTGTGCTTATTGTTGACGCAGCCTTCAGTATAATTCAAGTATAAAAACCACACATGTAAACCATATGTCCTGTGGTCCCAGTAAGAAACTTTCAAACATTGCAAACGCTATCCTATAAAAGCAGAGGTAAACACAAAGTGAGACGCAGATAGAAAATAAAAACTTACCACAAAATGCAACTTTGGCACACACGGTCAGTCCCAGCTCATGGTGTAATGAAGTTGGAAAATGCAAAATCAAGCTCCTCTCTCTGTTGCTCCCTCGCTGTTGGATCAGGGCCCGTGATCTTTGATCCTCAGGCTAAACAGTTCATTTGGCAACCCTGAGAAGAGCGGCACACACACACACACACAGAGAGAGAGGGAGAGAGAGAGAGAGAGTCACCACACAAATACAGACGTCAAGCTTCATTAGAACCAAACTCACTGAGGTGTCTGCAATGCAAACAGCGACAGGCCTGTTGCAGGATACACGGTCCAGCAAGAGACCAGAGGCAGAGGTTCAACTGTAAAATGCACAGAGGCTGAGGAGACAGGAATGTTTGAGCTGGCAAAACAAACTAGCATCTTTATAATCAACCTTGAATTAAAAATATTTAGCAGAATCATTGGTGGTTGCTTTTGGACTTGGATACTTGCTCAAATTAGCAATCCCCAAATCTGTCAGTGACAGTGCAACATACTTTGGTGTTATCCAGGAGGTTATAATTTATTTCACCAACTGATGTCTTTATTATAATTTCATGAGAAGATTCCATCAGCGCAAAATGGTAGCATTTGTATCCAGGATATTTTGCCGTCTTTTCTGGAGAGCAAAGGGAAGAGGAGGTGCGTCATTCATCTTTATTTAGTTTATGCTGGAAACTAAAAAGAGTTAATAATATCTCTTAATAGTTTGAAGGCCTCACATGCAGTGAGACAGCTGTGGGCCTGATGTTATATGAGCCAATGCTTTATCCCATCTTAGACTGTACAAGGTGCTATTAAAGAACTTTTCGTTAAGCAGAACTACTTTCATTACAGTTGTTTTATGTTAAAAAAAAGTTTTAATTAATAAAAACATTTCTGCGTTGAGTTTTCCTGCCACATTTCTAGCAAATCAAATCACAACAATCTACCAGACCTCCTGAATCTCTTTTCTATAAAGGGCAATAAAAGCCCTATAACTTGCTGGGGGTTGGGGCTTTACATGCTAGGTGGGCACATCCAGGTCTGTTAAAAAATGCTATGCTGTGAAGTTTTCTTGTTGCCATGTTTAGCGAAAAAAGCTCCTCGGCCAGCTGCAGTTGTTTTTGCAGAGCCTCTGTGCTTTTTCAGGGCAGATTTTGATCTCGCTGACTCTTGGCAGATCCTGTGTACACTGCGCAGCGCCTGACCGAGACAGCGCTCGGGGGGCCAAGTGACAGAGCGTTCACTATGGCAACACACTTTCCAGGCCACCCCCTCTGTCCCCACGGGAGCGAGACGATGGGGCTTTTGTTTCTGCTCAACACCGTAGGGATGGACCTACGCGGTGTCTTCCTGTTGAGCTTCCTTCCTTTTCTTTTCAATTATGAACAAGTTCATCTCCTCCCTCCCACAGAGTTGAACCCCCCCCCTAATGGAATCTATTCATCATTATCCAAGCAGAGCTGAAGAACACAGGCTTTCAATGAGCTATTTTGTTTTTGTCTCAAGGGTAATAAAGTGAGCGGCTCAGATGACTACAATCGCTCTTCGGCCAAAGTCAAAGCTAACGATTGGACACCTACAGTACGTTAACCACTTCATCTCACACGGGAATACAGCAAACCTGAGCTTCATCAGGACTCTGGCATCTGTTACTGGTGCTTAATGTCCACTGGAGAGCTGTTTAAAGCCCATCTAAACTCTAATTAGCCTGCCCTGTTGTTTTGTTGTGTTTTTGTTTCACCCCAAGAAGGAAATTAAGAAAATTATTAACAGACACAGGCTCTGCTCACCAGCTCCCTACAATCCATGACTCAACTTTCAGTCATTCTCTCCAAGTTACCCAATTTGCTTTTCGATTGCGGATGTCGGTGTTCAGCCTTGAAAAGGAGACTTTCATCATAACATAGGAATCATACAACGGTGAATTGGTGAACAGTGAAGTCCAACTTAAGTGTCTGGTAAATATTATGACTCAAAACAACGGCAGTCCTCATGTAATGTCTCCTGACAGAATCAAATATCCACACTAACCAAACACGACTGTCTAATTTAGAAATGATGCAGTCACAAAAGAGCAAACCAAACTACCAACAACGCAGTCTGTCAAAATTCAAAGAAATAAACAAACTGAAATTTGCATATATTTCAAAATGGCATACTGATTGAGAGCTGATTGGCCGGAGCCTTCACATCAGCTGCTCGGCAATAGAATTGTCAGTATCTCATGAATCAGGACACAAAATAATACAAGCCTTCCTCTATACTTTTCATTGTTTTGTCATATTTTTAGAGTCAAATGCACAAAGCAGAAGATACAAGAATCTGCTCAAAGCAGCTGCAGCACGTGTCTCTGTGCCACATCTGAGCTCCTGTGATGTTAATGTTTAGTCCTTTTTTGTCCCTGCTAGTTTATCATTAGCTCTGCCCTGGCCTCAAACCATGAGGTCCAACACTCAGAGATCAGCATCTTGAATCCTTTACATGCTGCTGACTGATAAATAATCATAGAGCCCATCAGGACATGGTTTGAATTGTGTGGGAAACCAAAGTTATATCTATCTCACATTGTATCAAAATGAAATATGACCACAGCAACTAGAGTTTACCTCCGCTAAGGCCCAACAGTCCTCTTACATTCAATGAAGTTGCATCAGCATACTCATAGATATCAGTCCATGGATTATTTTCTGAGAAATCAAGGAAAATGTTGAAATCTCACAATGTAAAAGAAAGTGAACACCAACACACACATCCAAAATTTGATATATCCTCTGGGAAATCCATAAAAAAATCTCATTCTTCCTCCAAGTTCTGTAAAAATCCGTTCTGCAGTTTTTGCGTAATCCTTCTGACAAACAAACAAACCAACAGACCGTGGCAAAAACATTAGGTCCTTGGCAGCAGTAACGATAAAGGTTGCAACCAGCTCAGCAAATTTCCCAAAGTCTCAGCGATGAGCTATTTTTGTAAGAAAGTGTGTTCTTACTCAGAAGCCAGCATAAACACAGTGATGCTGTGCTGTTGTGGCCTGAGAGGAGGTCAGACACTATTTCTAACTTAGCACTGTTTGCTTTGGTTTGGGTGCAGGAGCTGAGTGGAAGAAAACCTCCAAGCTGTCAAGCAGTGTGGTATTTCTGGTAGCCAGCCACTTGGAGATGACCACAATGGCTCTTCCTTCCCACAAGGGTTTGTCCCTTTTCCGCAGGGACAACATCCAGGTCGAAGCCTTCCTCCAGCATCTCTGCCATTGTCTTGAGATAAGTGCAAGACAGAATAACTGAGCTGTCTGCTGCACACACACGTCCCCTGGGTGATTTATCAGGCGCCTCCTTACAAGGGCAGACCTCTAAATTAAAAGTATGTCACAAAGCAGAAGCGATTTTCTCCCAGATTCTTGTTTCATAAACCATTCAACCACAATACTCCTCTTGGAATCAAAGTCATAACCCTTCAGCTGAATTTACTCGGGGGCGTCATACGAGGAAGATGAAAAGGTCAGATCACGCAGGGGGAGCAAGTCAGTGTTATTTCCTCATTGTCTGTGACACACGCCGAACCACAGGGGGGAAAGAAATATTTCTAATACCTTGACTTTCTCTGTGGCTGCAACAATTCCTGGCACAGTGGATGGTTCTGTCTGTGGTTCGCCTGGGACAGAGCTCCACAGAATGAAAATAGCTCGGACATAATCACATTTCATTGTTTTTAAACTGGAGTCCACACACAGGCTCGCTGTAGTAACGGATATTATGAGCAGCCAAAATAAGTGATAGCCTCTTACATAGTCCCCTTGAATTAGATTCATTAAAAAAGTTGCTGTTTTGCTACTGAAAACTAAAATCAGGACTTGATGCACAGCTTCAAACAAACCAATCTGGGTAATTTATTCAATTTATGCATTTATTTTCAGCTTGTGGAGCACATTCTGAAATGCTGCATGGTTCACTTAAATAAATGTACAGAATCAGAGCTCAGTCTTGGCTCGGTTATTCACTTACTCCAGAAGAAATCCCCCCAGTCGTCTATGGAAGGTTAACAGCTGCCTACAAACTGCCAAGAAATCTCGAAACTGTATCACAAAAATATCTGCTGGATTTCTCCACAAGCAGTTTATCACACACCTGTAATCAAGCACGAGAGCGGTCTCCAAGTCCTGAAACATAATGGATCTGCAAGCTTTCCCCACTTTCCGCTTGGTAAACAGAAACACTGTCCAATCTGAGATCTCTGAGTCTGTGAAAGCGCTCATGAAGCTCCACGGGGTGAAGGTAATTTCTCGTGGAAGCCACAGGGACATTTCTGTGCTGGGGGAAAGTAAGAGTGCATTTCGTCCAAGTTCCTCTTGACATGAAGCTCTTGGATTCAAGCTGTGCTGACAGTCAGTGCTGCTTCCCTCTCGTCACGGCCTGCCTGTGTCTCCGAATGAGAAGAAGCTTGTTGCATTTGGAGTCAGGACAGGGATGTGATCGCTATGAGGAAAGAGAAATTGAGCACCAGGTGTGGTTGACCTCAAAACAGACTGATCAGAGAGGATTTTTTGAATACTGTAATACTGTAATAGGTTCTGTTTTCTTCTGCGTTCAATCACCAGTCAATTTCCATTACAGTTTCTGGGTGGATGGGGCAGGACCCAAGGAAGACCCCATTAAATTTTGGTGCAAATCTAGATTAGGGGGTGGATCCAGGATTCTTTTTTTTCCACTTTATATGGTAGTGAGAACAAATCATGGATTTTGATGAGTTGAAATCAGTCATTTTAAAGGTGAGACTTATGAGTGTGTGCTATTTGGTGCAGATGCAAATAATTGGGCTTTGGCAGAGATATGCGCTCTACTGAGTGCACTAGTTTGGAGAGATTGTAAAAGCATTTAAAAGAGATAAACAGGCTACAGAAAGTAAAACACACAATAGTTAGCACAAAGAGTAGCCACATTTCCCAATGTGTAATGAATACCAGCAAAGACTGTTACATTCTTTAGAGCAGCAAAGTCTCTGGTTTGGTTCTGGCTGGTGATCTTTGTTGCATGTTGTACAAATCTCTCTTCCCGTCTCCAATTTCTGCCTTTGTTTACTGTGCCCCATCTAAGTGGATGCAAAAAGCGGAGAAAAATGACAACGCAGAGTAGAGGCGAGGGTAAAGTCAGTGTGAGAAAACTCTGGTCTGATTTATCTCAGCTGTTGTGTGGAGCTTGATCCCAAGTTTGGACGCACTCCTCACATCTTTCAAGTACAAGGTTACAGTTGGCTTCTTGGCTTGGAAACAGCAGCTGTAATGGAAATAAAGATGTTCAAACTGTCTTCAGCACTTCAGACTACATCAGCTGATGAAGACTGTGAGATGCAGCCAGATGCTCCAGGACAAACAAGTAAGAAGTCCTTGATGGCTGATTATTTCTTGAGGGCTGTTTCCAAGCTCAAGAACAAAGTGTAAACCCAAGTTGTTGAGCCAAAGTGAATAAGAATTCCTTCTATTGGGTTTGACTCACTGCAAGTTTACATTTCTTCAATGAAATGACAAACTATGGTCAAAGTAAGTGACAAGCACTTCAGAGAAAACACACTGCTGACTTTTATATTTTGACCCTGACTCAAATTGAACACCCCCTGCAGGTGAAAACTGTTAGCTGCAGAGACAAACAGCTTCAGTGAATTAAAAATGTCAGAATTGACCCAGCTTAATAATCTGTATGCTTCATGTGTGGAGGCATATAGCTGCAAGCTGCAATAAATACCTCCAAACTGCTGACTCTCTGTGTTCAGCTCCCTCAGCGCCGCTAACCCTCCTTCAAGCAAAATGTACTGACACATGACATAGCATGTGCACACTGATGCTAAAATACAATAACATTGAATTCAATTGAATAGATCGGCCACACAGATCTGCCCTGTTGTCACAGATAGTAGATCCAGCTACAGTATTTGAGTCAATACCCAATATCAGTATCAGATCGGTGCACAGCCAACAAGGCGCCAGCTCGCTTCAGAGTAACTGCAGCTCCCCGAAAATCCCAGAGTATCCTTGTGTCATCAGAAGTGAACCACAGTGCACTGCTTGTCCTGTGAAGAACATATTTTCTGGGCTATGGCAGGTAATGGGAGGGTAATGGAGATATGGGAGTGAGCTAGGGGGTTAGGGCAAGTGGTTAATAGCAGCCAGATGTGTTCCTGATGCGAGTCAGAGCCTGAATGCTTTACTATGTAAATGAGTGGATATCCCACGTACTATCTTCTTACTGACATTATCTCAGGAGCAATCAAACAAATTAAGCGAAGCCTGTGGAAGCAGGGAGCCTCATGCAACCAATGCTCTATGTGTTTGCTGAAAGGGTTTATTTGTGCATGTGTGCACAGCATGTGACGCCATGATGACAGTCACTGCTTGTCTGTGTATGTTTCTGTATGTTGGAGTTGATTCCTGTGAACATTCCTCTAAAGTTCGCTCAACACAAACTCTGAGCTCCAAAAATAGAGCGATGATCTCACCCTCCCTTTTCATCGATCTTGGCTCACATCCAGCAGCACGCCGGCACCACACACTGTAACAATTACACGGTGCCTACAGATTTCTCTGTGACACAAAACTCGTGCATGCCCTTCTCATGATTGGGTTCGTCGAATTTGCTTTTGGTCATGATGCAGCTATGTGAGATTTTGGGGCGGGGGGTTGGAAATAGACAGTAACTGTGTTTGTGCAGTGAAAGTAAAGGTTGGTTGCACCGTGTAGGCTGAGTCAAACCCCAGTGGACTAGCAAGTTAAACAGCTTTGACCCACAAGTTATAAAAGAGAAGCACTGTTGGAGGTGCAGCGATGAACGTTTTCACATTTCATAGTATAATTTTCCCAGTGGTTGTTAACACTGTGTATTTATGAACATTTGAAAAGGGCGTTGATCAAAACCAGCGGCTATATGATGGTGCAAAGAGCAAAGATGAGTTTTAAAACAGTTTCCCCCAGTGGTGTCAGTGAGACACACATCGACTGTGTGTAAAAAAAAAAAAGCTTAGTACAGAAAAAGTTGAAAGTTTTGACTAATAGCTAAATAATCACCTTGAATTGAAAAACGGAGGATTTTGCAGCACCTACTACTCACTGAGTAAAAGGAAATCAGTAGCAGCAATAATTCTGTTTGAATGGACCACTGTTTTTGATGGGTGTACAGCTGGTGTTCAAATAGGTCAGCTGAAGATCAGCTGACACTTATGACTTTATGTCATTGCTTTAACATGCGCCATGAAATCCTTTATGCATTTCAAGCCTTAATAAAGTCCTTTGTCTCAGTGTGTTTCTGATGGATATAAATCATGTTAGCTAGCTTACTCATCTCTGGTTTGACTGCTGGACAGTCCCCAGTGGAAGCACAGAGAAGAGTTCAAATCACAGGTTTTTTAAGATGAGGATACACAAGAGCTTCACTAACTGCTGGAGTGTGTAAGAGTGCGACTGGTACACTACAATTGTGCAGTGCTGGGGGACGTATTCAAACATTTTACTTCAGTAAAAGTAAAAATAGATACACCAAAAGTAAAAGTACCATATTAACTCTTATACTTACTTATAAAGTATTAAAATAAAAGTAAAAGTGCTGTTTGACTGTAGAAAAACTATGTGAACAATCCAATTCATTGCTAAATTTAGTGGAGTAGAAAGTACAGATATTTGCTCACATATCTAGAGGAGCGAAATTGCATGAACATATATCTATTTAGGTACAATGATGAAGTAAATGTACTGGCCAGGTTAAACTAAAGTAAAGCTATGTTTAGGTTAAGCCCTGAAGCGTCTGAGAACAGGGGGTGAAAATGAAGCTGCATCATGACATCATGACATCATGACTCGTTTTAGTTTATGTATGTTGAAGCTTTTCCATATGTTTGACATTTGCTGTTGCACGAGCTTTTTGCACAGAGCTACAAAACAGAACCTGCCCACCTGGGAACAAACTATCTGCAAGTTATACTGGGACATAAGAGACCCATTATCTACTGTAAGTGTGTGTACATTATGAGCTTACATTGTTGTTATTGATGCAATCTGCAAAAGTCCAAAATGTGGAACAGAAAATTAAAGGAGCTGCTCCACACAGGTGACTACAGCAGAACATCCACTGGGACTGTTTGGTGATAACAATGCAGGTTTGGCAGGAACAAAGAAAACACTGTTATGAGAGAACATTGTCTGTGAGAGTTTTATCCAACATGGCATCATCACATGTCCCCGTTTCTGTCTTTAGGAGGGTATCGATTACCTTTTACCCCTTTTCTTGTAAGCAGCTGAGTTTTCTGTAATGCTGTCTATGTGGGGTCATCCTGACTTTGTGTGGGCTGAAACTTTGTGTATCTCCCCCTGAAAAAAGATTGGTGCCCTGGGAGTTTAGACAGGCATTTCAAATCAGAGTCTGACCCCTGACCTGTGGATACATATAGAATAAGTTAACAACCATCCTCTGGACAGATAAGACAGGCCGGCTGATAAGTGAGTCAGTGGGGTTTTGGAGAAGAAAAAAAAAGTCTGCTGGCATGGAGAGGTCATGCAGAAGTCAACTCTTCCCAGCCATGAAGCCTCGAAGGGGGGTTACTTAGCGGCAGTAAGCATTCACACCATGGAGGGTTATCTGATCGACTGGAGGAGGCACAGCTAAAGTGCCGCCTGCTAATTCAGATAGGATAAATTAGAAGGAGACCCCTGAGAGCAACCGAGCCCAGACCAGCCACCTCCCTCACCTCGCTTTCTCCCTGATAAGAGGTGCAATCCACAAGAGAGAGGGAGCTAAGAGAGCCGCAGCATATGGTTAACTGTTGTTGCATGAATGTTTCTGTGTTTAAAAAAAGAAATGGAGCCATATGTGGCATGTGCACAACCTCCTCTCTCTCTCTCTCACCTCTCTGATTGTATGACGTCCGCTCTTTCTGACCTCACAAAAAAAACAAGTAGTACAAAAAGCGACAGGATGTTTGCTTTGATTGTTGAAAGGTGACAACTAATTCATCACCACAAGGTTAGCGAATAATGTGCAGCTGCACAGGAAAGCTTTACCCAGCCTACTCCTGTGCTGCCTCAGCTCCAAGTGCAGCATCAGCTCCTCTTGCTGGAAACACACACATTTACTCTGTGGTGCATTGACACTGATCTGGGCTGATTCCAACTAATGCATACAAATGGGAATGCAAATTTAGATTTGCAAATTTCACCAACAAATAAAAAAATTGAGTCGGCATAGTGTGAAAAACAGTTTTATGAAGGTGTTGTTGCAACAACTTACTGGAGCTGCTGTGATGGAAACCAGTTATATCAAACTTTATAGTACATGGAAGTTTTCCCAAACACGCCCCTTGAGACCAGCCTGCCAAACTTTCAATTCACCTAAGATGCAACACAATGAAACTTTAGACTGTCTCTGCTATAGAAAAGTCCAGATGTAGTAAAAGCAGATGTTGTAGAAAAGCTGATCGCTGATGTTTCTATATTTTACTGTCCATACATTAAAATCAACTGTCAAACTCACCGGTCAGTGATGACAAAAACAAAACAAAACACGTTCTTCTACAACTGTTCAGTCCGAACGGAAAAAACCTCAGGCAATTGCAAATCTCAGTCTTCTTTTCCCTCCAAATTTAAAAACACAGCATCTCGAGCAGTCCTGACTGTTTCTGTTGATTCTCTGTTGCTGCTGTGGTCAAGTCCTGAAGAGAGAGAGTGTGTGTGTGTGTGTGTTTGTGTGTGTGAGTGTGCAGCGTCTGGGGAAGAGGTGGTAACTTCCTCTCAAAGTTGGAGACGGAGTGAGTAACAGAGTTTTTCCCTCCCGGCTCCAATCCACATGAAGCAGGAAAAGCTGTCATACTATCCCCCTTTTTCAGATGAAGGGGAAAAAAAAGAGGAACAGCCTAAAAAGGGCAAGAGAGGAGGGAGGAAAGTAGTGGCTGAGTGTGTGTGTGTGTGTGTGTGTGTGTGTGTGTGTGTGTGTGTGTGTGGGAGGGGGAGCTTCCCCTCTGTTGTTAAGGAAACTGGCAGAAAGCAACTCCAGAGAAATTAGCTCAAGTTTTTCCATGCACAGTCCAGTGTCACAAGAAAACAACAACAAAGAGGCAACTTTGTGCGTCTGTAACGGATGAGAAGCTGTGTGTGATCTCACCAGCACAAATTCATCTGTGACGCTGGAGCTGCTTTGCATGAAACACACTAAAATGCGCTTATTCACTTTCTTGATGCTTTTTTTTTTTTGTTACATGAGGAAATCAATATGACACTCACACCCTTAAAGCTTTGGTGAGGCAACTTTTCCTTTTTCTGGTCCAAGTTGCAGAAACAGTCTGTCTGAGGAAGTGTTGAAGTCTTTAAACACAAGCTTAAATCCTGTCTTCAGCCTGATGTTTGATAATGTGACTTTTTATGGTTATTCATGCTGATAAAATCTATTTCACTGTATTTCATGATTTGATTTTGATTAGTTTGGTCTTATTTTCAGCCCACCTGTCAGCTGTGAAGCACTGACCTGCTCTAACCTGTGAAACTTGTGCCGGCAAGCTTTTTGATTAGCTACAGCTCAAACACTGGAAACTGAGGGAAACAGCTTATGACAGGCTGTTCAGGTGCTGACTATTTTTGGGATGTATTGACTTTCTGGAATCTCCAACTAGTTAAGAAATTCTCAGGAAAAACACATTTTAGGGTTATGTAAACATTTATCCTCCTGGTAAAATATCTCTACATATTCAATATGTGCAATGGAATCATGCAATAATAACCATTTTGTGCTGAGCCTTCTCCAGAATGTCTGAAATTGCTATAAGACCAAGGAGGTAATGTTTTCATCGGTGGATCCAGATCAGGGGGCAGATCCAGGAATTTTTCACATATTTCCCAGGGAATAATTAATCAGACATATTTATGGGTATACTCCACTGAGGGCCATTCTAGTAAATAATGTCTCACTGGTGTTTCTATATTGACTGACTCTCACGCTGAAGGAGTAATTGGTACTAGCTGTGAGCCACGTGCAAAAAAATCCTTTTCCAAAATCATCTTTACATGCGATAGCATTAGCACGACCAAGGCAACACACGCTCTGATCTTATATTTTGTCATATTCTGCAGCTGGTTTTACTGGCAACAACATTTCCTCAACTGTAAGAGCAGCGCACCATCCTGCGAGCTACAAGTGGTCATGGACACCGAACTTCGTCTTTACCAAATTTATATTAAAGCCAGACGCTCCGAAAGGCATAATGACATTTTTCATTAACGTTGCCACAACTCTTCGTGGGGATTATAAAGGGAAGAAAAGCTGAGGGCGGTGAAATCAAGAGTTCATTTTATTGTTCCAGAGGGTCAACATTAGAGCAGAGCTGTTATTGTGCTACACCCTGCTGGGGCCTGAAAGAACATCTTGCTCTTATTCCCACATACTTCACTCATTAACCCGCTCGCCAACCTGAGCAGCAGCCACAAAATCTTGTCATATAGACTCACTTCAGTTGAAATTCCGCTGAATTTTGCACCCACAGGGATTAAAGGCTCATCAATCCAAATCAAACATCCTCCCACTGCTTTTTCCTCAAATTCTGGCTTCACCCTCTCATGGATACAGTCATGGATGCAAACAAAACAAAAAAGCAAAGCAGAAGGCATCTCACCAACAGCAACTGTCAACTCCATCGAGGAGGAGGAGGTGTAGGGGTTGGAACAGGGGGTTTTGGGAAAAGCTGAGTCCCCCTTTGTCAGTGCCAGGATTTAAATGTTTCTCTGAGCTGCATCACATTCCTGCCTGGATCTCCTCATGGCTGGCAGATGTCCACCTGCCCCCGGGGCTGATTTACACTCCAGCTCAGGGTTGGTCTGAGGAGGGTGGATAAGTTAGGGGCAGAAGAAGAAAAAAGACAAGAAGAAAGAAAATGTAAGTGAGCGAAGAAGAGGTGAAATAAGGCTTAGAGAGAAACGAGAGCAGTTTAATTACAGGGCACTTATAGCTGTGGAGGAGGTTAGCTTTTCCTGGATGATGTCGGACAAACCTGAGCATGCCAGCGTGCTGCTCAATGTAAATACACAGGTTATTATGATAAGCTGTGGAGGGGCGGAACCAGGGGAGGGAGATGTGGCTGATAACCAGGGAGCGTCTGTCTGCAGGTGGGAGAGGATGAAATGAGTGCGTGTGTGGGGGACAGAAGGGGGTGGAGGAGATTTAAACATGATAGCACCCATGACAAAGCGCACCACTGCCAGGGTGAAGCCGAGCGATATGCTGCCAACGGGTCTCATGTGAACAAAAGCTAAACCACCGTCTTTAACCTAGATTAATATTTGCAGAGCGTTTCATGAGGGAGTCGCCTCACCCACTCATTTTCCAAAGGTTGCCTCACAGAGCCTTTGTTGGCGACGTGCACCTTCGGGAGGCCGTGTGAATGAAACCCTCTGATGATAGGCTTGATTTAGCTGCATGAACACAAAGCAAAGCTTTAAATAAAGAGCAGAGACACTTGTGTTGTTTCCACTGCAGAAAACCCCCAACACTCTCAAAGGGCAAAGTCACTTTTTTAATCTGATAATTGACATGGAAGCATAGTAATTAAAACTTTGGCTTCCTTGTGCAACAACAGAGCGAAACAGAGAAGACAAAACACCACCGATAGATGAGTCATCTGTTCTCTGAAGAATGAAATGAAATGAATATCCTGTGAGGGCGTCCTGAGAGAATTAGCATCATTCTTCTTCTGATGAAAACCATAAGGAGATATCAAAACTGCAAAACACATGTAGCCTGGAAGAACCTTCAAGTGACAGAGAAATAATGGGGGGGGGGAATCCTGTGAGAAACAAGGACAGAACATTCGAAGACAAAAGAGAGGAAGAGAAGTTTTTACTGAAGGCACAAACACTGTGGCTTCCACAAACTGCTCATTAAAACTTCCCTGGCAAACCTGTCGATGGATGTAGTCTACGTCTGCACCTTCAGGTAACGTCTGCACCCTCCACCCTCGCTGTGCATGACAGGAAAACACATGTCTCTGTCTTCTGCCCCGTTAACCCCCACCCTCCCATAAAAAAAGTGCAGTGGAGGCATCTGACAGCAGGAGCTTCTTTATGGCACAGATGGGATCGCAGCACGGGGAACGTGTGCACAGAGATTGTTTTGTGATCATAAGTCGTTCCTGCTGTGACTTTCCACTCCCTCTGCATGCACATAAATAATGCACCCCCAGCACCTCTTTCCATCCACAGGAGTAGCACAAAGAAATTCATCAACTCATACTTGCAAAATACTTGAAGCTTTGTGACACAGGGACGACTCATGAGTGTTGTTGGTGGCAAGCTAACTGCTAATGTGCTATTCAGGGTTCAGTATCTCTGGTAACAAGCCAAGTAAAGGGTGTAATACCTGACTTCCGGCACACCCATGTGGTCCTGAATAGAAAGGAGATTGAGGGAGAGGTCTGTTTGGTATTAAGGCGGGAAGCATGGGACAGGAAATGGTCTGGGGTTGTGCAGAGGAGGTCCATCCACAGAGCGGGCAGGGGTCCCACCACCGCCAGGGCTACAATAAGGCCCTAGTGTTCACCCTAGCCCTCGCTCTGTCAGTCCACACAGAGAGGTGACAGAGATGAAATGAGTGGAGGAGGAACAGAGGGATTGCTAAAGTTGAGGAGAAGTTAAGGGGGGGAGATTACATAAACATCTCAACACCTTGGCAGCTCAGCGTGGTCCTCCCTGCCTCCTCAGTCACATAGTTTCCCTTCCTCTGTACCTCTGTCTTTCTCCTCACAAACTGTGGATGGCGTTTCAGTTGCCAAGTGTCATGAGGATCCAAGCAAGTCAGCTTTAGTTCTCACATTCCTCCCACTCAGCTCATCGCACTGATGATCCCAGAGTCAGGGTAGCTGCTGTTAACTCGAATCAAAAGAGTAAAGTTTCATTTATTTAAAAAGGTGAACGCATTTTTCATAAAATAGGATTCTGTGTGTGGGTTTCATTGTTTTAAAATAATGTTGCAGTGCTGAGGTGAAACATTTCTATCTGCTCTTTGCCATTATTGCTTGTTGGAATCCAAGCTGAACTAAGGAGGCTGTACTAAAATCTAAAAGTAAAGGGTCTGTTACTACATCACCTTAACAGTTATAACAAAGTTTGCCTTTTTTAATTTTTAAAAAATTATTTTCACTCTTCTTTATTTAATTAAAATTCCTAAAAGTGGAAAACAAGTTTTGGATTTCAACTTTCATCTGTTTAACACATGAACTCTATATAAAGATGGACAACATGACAAATCATCTTGGCCCCCCCCCCGGTGGCTGGCAGCAGTATAGGTCATAAACACTGTCTCCTCCACGTTAGTGATTGGGACACAGACCAAACTAAAAGGTCAAAGTGGACGTCAAATAAAAGTTTCTCAGAGATGGTCTCTGTCATTTCAGATTGTTTTACTCACATTGATGCATGTTAAGCAAGCTTGGTTTTAATTAGTTATTTGATGTTATATATAAATGAATTGAAACGTCATGATTGAGCTGAGATTGATGCACAATTGGACGAGCCTCAGCGGGACCTTGCTATCATAGCTCCATCCCCTGCACAGACTCCGGGATATTTTGATTTCATTTCTGGAAAGTGGGAGGAGGTTGAGACACGTTGTCCATCCGTTGTTTGATGTACATTAAGTATTATTACAGGGTTGTTGTAGACGCATCTTAGAGTCTCGTTTAATGTCCGGATTGAGGCCAAGTTCAGGAGGTTTCAAAGATTTCTTCACCCATTTCCCATCTTTACACGTAATCC